CCAGAGGCACTGCACATCGGTTAGGTCTGATGGTCCGATGTCTTTTGCATAGACTGGAAGTCAAAGAAATAGTGTTTTATTTATGGTGGAAATTTTTTATACATGCTATTATTGGGGAATTTAAAATGAATATTCATATTTTTCTTGAAAAAGCATTTTAAAAAAATTAGGGTCAGCTACAAAATAGGGTCGGTTCACTGGGTTGTGAAAGTGGAAACAATTTTGCCTAACAACACCACAGCCTAACATTTTGACAAATGTAAATGTACCTTAATGATAGCTGATGATCCATAAGTTAGGATATTCACAGCATGAAAGAGCTGCTGAAATGGCATGGACATTTTAGAGCATCTGTCATATCACCCCCAGTTCCATAACCCTCCTTCCAAGTTTCCAGATAGCAGATATTAAGGGTTCCAGATCCTGTTCCATCTCAACTTCATGTTCAATGTCCACAATATTAGGGATACCTATTCAAATAATATACATGTACTACTAAATCTATATAGCTGAGATTTCTTCCCTATCACTGCATATATGTAAATGTAGATGCAGTACATACAAAATGAGTGTTTTATTTTATTTTCATATTGTGTGGTGTACATGATTATGATTGAGTTTCACATACTCTATAATATGTATTGATGCTTTTAGCTTTCATGAACTCAAAAGAAAATTCAATTAAAAAAAATGATTATAGTCAAAATTGCAATTCAGACACTCCACCATCAACATAACTTGGAAATAAATAAGGAAAGAAATAATCTTAATAAAAAGAAAAGTCCTGTTTTAGGCCAAAGAATTTAGTGGTAAGTATTATTTTGTGTTGTAGTGTAGTGAATTTTTTATCTAGTATGTTTTGGAAGAAAATATTGTCTAGACAGTGTCCAACACCTTGCATCTGGTTACCTTCAAATTTCATTGAGTTATAACTGTGTCTCATATGACTTGACATTTATAATAAATTATTGTTTCTTTTAATATATTTTCTATGTTTGCTAAATTTAAAAGCATCAATACATACATGTAGACATGATAGAGTACATGAAACTCGAAACGTTTTTCCAAAATCAAGCGCACCTGAATAACATCAATAATTTTTTGAATTTTTATTAATTCACCAACATTCTGGAATGCAATCATGTCACACAATATAAAAATAAATTACAAAACAGAATTGTATATATATCATGTAAATTACCCCCTCATGTGTGCACTGGTAACCAGTGCTATTGTTTTTATTATAATATAGTGTAGTGCTCTTTATCCCTTTTTCAAATCTATATTGTAAACAACAACTAAGGAAGAATATATAACAACTTTTAATCTCAAAATCTCTGTTTTTTTTTTTTGTTATTTTTTTTAAAAACTTTAACATGAATCGTCACTAATTTATAATGTTGTGTGTTCACTCATGCCCCCAATTCAGAAAAAAGTACCCAGTTCACTCATATATATATATATATACATATATATATATATATATATATATATATATATATATATGTATCTTATCTAATACCGGTATTTTGCTGAGCCACAATCACTTTTACTGAATTTCTGAGGTAGTGTTAGTTAAATGGTGTCAAATACTAGAGACAAACCTGGGCAGATCGTTTTTGCTAGGCTAGAGTTGTCATGCGTTTGTGATTCGAATGATGGGTTTAATCTTTGCAAAGTAATTTTCAGTCAGACGCAGCTCACCATCGCCTTTTTTTGAGTCAACGAAGCCTTGCTGTACCGCTGAATAGATTTGGTTGATGAAAATCCTCGTTTTCTCCGCATTTCATTCTTTTCGAAACATCCGCTTTGTTTACATTACCGAAAAGTAAGATAAGTCGTAAAATTACCTCGACTTGTTGTTAGTTTGAATCCAATGAAATTTTAGTCACATTTTATATGATTTTATATCAAGTATATCTTTAAAATAAGTTGCATTGTAATTTTTTTTTCCCAACTCTACTAAAGAGATGAACGACATACGATTCATTTACGTCATTCGGAGTTGCGCGGTGGATTCAAAATCGTCACTACCATACGTCCTTAAAAAAAAAATGCTTCAAATATGTGATTACAAAAATATTTTACAGTACGTTTTCACCATATAAGAATCACATTTTTCCATTTTAAATGTTTCTCGACTGAATTAACAGAATTTCAAATGAACAAATTCATTTAAATATTTTCTAATACAATGTCCCTGATGTATGTCACAATGTAACACCTGCACATGTACTATATAAAAATAATTTAGTAAGATTAGATATCTTTATATTGGAGGTACGTGTATGATAGACCGTTTTGATTGGAAGGGGAAATGCATTTTTAAAATACTATGGCTAATGTAGACAATTAAGATCACAGTTTTTCTCCTTCACCCAAAAATAAAGTATGCTCAGTTCTTCTTGTATGTATCCTTAAAGCTGGTAAACTAATCAAAATATAAAAATCTGCAAGTTTTTGTACATGTATTCAGATTGGAAACTTTAATCATTAGTTCCTTACCTGTCCGTGTAAGAGAAATAATTACAGTCTCTAGACTTGTTGTGGTGTGATTACGGTAATTGTAAAATGTGGTTTCCTAGGCTTTACCTTGTTTATTCATTAGAGTTAGTGATTCATTTTCACTATTTTTCCTCGGAAGGAGATGTCTCGGCATGTAAGTTACTTTTAAAAAAAAATAAGTGGGTCATGATATATAGTTTGATTCAGTTTTCATACTCTTTTCAATGGATTTGATTTCATTCAGATTTCATTAAGCATTTTTAAGTTTTTATAAGTACCTGTGCACTTAATGGATTAAGATGGGAAGATGTGGAAAGGCAATCAATATACCCGGTAATACATTTAACTTTACTCCTTTGCATACAAGAACTGTGAAAATTTGGACCAATATACAGTGGCGGATCCAGAAGTCCATGTGGGGGGGGTTTTGAGGCCCGTAGGGCCGAAGGGGGAGGGCATGGGAGGGGGTGTCCCCCTCCCATAGGTGGGGGTTCGGGGGGCCTCCCCCGAGAAATTTTCTTTAAAAATGGCTCCAAATGGTGCATTTTCCAGCATTTTAGATTGAATTAGTTAGTTTAATTTGGCCACTTTTTTTCTAGTTGTTTTTCAAAACCAACCTACCCAAATTTTCAAGAAATTGAACAAAAAAATAAATAAATAAATAAATAAAATAAAATTTTGGGATTATTTTTAACTTCCATGTTAACTTGAAAAATGAGACTTCTAAAGAAAAAATTAAATTTAAATCTGATAAAATTAGAAATATCGCCATTTGATATATAATATCCAATTCTTCATTTTAAAATGCACGTCCAACACGCTTTATCTACCAAAATACAACTGCATGATGTGCAATTTTCCAACACTTACAAAATTCGAATTCTGTGTAGAAACCCTAATTACTTTTTTCAACTACTTGACTATACTGTTCATATAATTTGCAGTATATAAACAAATAATGATATTTCATATTGAAGAATGAATATAAATTATTTTGGGAAATTGTTGGAATTATTGCTTATTCATTGGGGGGGGGGGGGGGTAATTATAATTTCTAACATAAATGCACTCTTTAATTCTTTTTTTTTTACCCACTTACCTGTTTTGAAAAAAAGTCTTGAAAAACATCAATAAAAAAAGTGACCAATTCTTGTTTTTGACAGGACCTCTAATTTATACGTATCAGTTTTACCACAATTCATTATACAAAGTTGTAACCATTATTTGGGTTTTATTCAACATCATTCAACTGTAATTAAAAAAAATGCTTTTTAAAATTGCATTGTAACTTCCATCAACAAAAGGAATACTTTCAATATGCTTTTTGGTACAGGTCACAACGTAAACAACTAGACAGTATACGTCCCTGATGTATTAATTAATTTTTTTTTCTAAATAATAATCACAGTTTATTCACGTAGTTCAATAACGTAACATTCAGTTATCGAAGAAAGAAGAAAATTCTCGAAACAATATTACTTCAGCAATACCAAAACAAAACCGTAATAACTAAGTGCAGTTTTGGTTGTTGTGTATGACGTTGTGTCTTCACTAGCTGCACGGACTATCATGATCTCTGTACTGTTGATTACCCCTGTGTATTGTGTGCGCTCAAGCGGAAAGGGATTTCGCATGGTGGCTGTATATTTCACCTCTTTGTGTACAACAATGGGTTGGATAGAGTCGCATTTATGCAATATATTGTTAAAATGACACTTGTAAAAATTTTTTTTTTGATCGGGCGGGGGGGTTTTCCCGAACCCCCCCAAACCCCCCTGGATCCGCCACTGATATAGTATTGGTATTGTCGCCTCTTTTTATTTGTTTCTAGCTTATAAATAAATTGGCTGCTACTTGCTCTGTGGGGTGGACGGGGAGGGACTACTGCTCTCCCTCATCCTAATGCTCTCTCTCTCTTTCTCTCTCAATTTATCCCCTCTTTCCGCTGTAGACAATTTTAAGATGTTATCAATGATCCAGGGATTCTTCCGGGGGAGGGGATGGGAGGTTCCATGCCCCCCCCCCCCCCAAAAAAAAATCCAACTGAGAAATTTACCCAAAACTTAAAAAATAAATCGATAAATTTTAAAAACCGCAAACTTGTTCACCCCCCCCCCCCTCGAGAAAAACTTTACCATACAAATGTGAAAACTCAAAAAAAAATTAAAAAAAAAAGGAGTGGACTGGACTGGATCGGTACATGAATTGCTAAGCATTGTCCATCGTATATATAAAGAACTGCTTATATTTTACACTTAGTCTAATCAGGGACTTACATATCTATTTGAACATTGTTAATACCCCCCCCCCCTCACCATTTACCATGTCGATTTCTAGTAAAAAAAAAAAAATTGTCTGATTTACCTATTCTACTCAGATTTACTCAAGTAATAAACTTTTTTTTTTCTGTATAAAATTTCATTCCGAGTCATCACCGGAACGAATTACTTCTTAATCGTAATTGTTGTGGCGTGATACTTGATGGTGAACCTAATAACATAGAAATACTTATTGGATTATACCTCTGAGGTCGTCATGTGATTTATATTAGTGTGTAAATGCCCCTCTTGGTAAGTGTAGAGTAAGAAACGTTATATATTATAGGTGTAAGTGACAAGTTCAAAATATTTACATGATAAACAAATCAGAGGTCATTCGAGTCACGTATAAAATTATTAAGTCATACATGTGATATCAGTCAAGTGCAGATATTTCACAAAAGTTTGGTTGTGCATGTATTTTAAACCTTTCACTGTGATGTTAAATGTAAGCATGATACAGCTGTGATACCAACATGTAATTTAAGAAGATAGGCTAAGTGAGACTCTTGTAAATTCACATATACACACAAAAGATGTAAAGGTTGCTCCACACTTCTTCAAATTAAGGCTTGCCACACTACAACGTGTACAATGCTTAATAAAAAATTGCAGCGACGTACAGAAAGTTTAACATACTCGCTGGCATATGCTGAAGGCTTGTGCCATGCACCATAATCATGATAATTGCACTGAAGCAAAAAATTGTGCATTAAATCAACTGTATTAGCACCAAAGTGTGCATTAAATTTTCCTTTGGCTCTGTTCGTTGGAAAGATTTGGACATTTTATCTTTTAAAGGAAAGGAATTGTATAGTTTGATATGTGCATACTCTAGATTTTGGAAATGTTAATGCCCTACTTTTACTGTTTTAATTACTTTTATTTTCAGATGTTTATTTTTTGCGAATGTGTGCATTTGGCCGGAAAACAATCTGACATTCCACCTTGAGATTTTATTTGAGAGTTGTTCCATCCTTAAATGTAAAGCACTAGGATTCAAAACAGTGTGAGAAATGATTAACATTATCGCCTATGGGAAATGTATTGTGTGCATGTGTATGTGGTGGACTGTATACCCCATATATATTGAGTACATCTATTGGTAAGCATGGTATGAGAAATTCTACTTGTTTTGTACTTTCAGTTTGAGTTGAAGTTTGTGATTTAATAATATTATCATTTCCAATTGTTGAAATTTATGAAATACACAACTTTTATTTTGCTTAATATGCATATTTTAAAACCAATCGAGCCGCAATATAATAGTTTGAGGTGAAATAGACATGGTGTAGACACAGTTAAGGCACGGAACCCATATAGGATTTAGAAAAGCTGTACGGGTTCCGCATACCCAAGACATGGACACAGAATCTGAGGATGAAAGCGAGGTGTTTTTGTACACAGAAACCAATGTGTAGGCAAGGAATCCTTGTCCCAGGAAGACGGTTTCTAACTTATAAAATTTGAAAGAGGCAGGTTTTGGTTCAAACTATATATTTTTAATCTCACGGCTTTTTACATAGCATGATCATAGCTTCCTTTGTGCAAATCAGATTAGAAGGATTCATGACCCTGAGCTAATATAGCTTGACTGTGTCTTTCTTACATTATAAAAGATACATAACTAATATACATGTGGAATTATACTTATGTCAAACTTGAATGATTTTGTCACTTTTGAACTAGAAGTCTAAATAAGTAAGTCTAATATAGAAACCATTTGAAATCTTTATCCTTGGATGTTTCAATGCAAGCTGACAGACATTGAAATAGTCTTTGTTGATCAATGATTTCACTTAACAATCTCATTTCATTTTATGTCATTACAGTGATAAAGAAAGTTATGATTTTATTAAATTCAAATTGAACAAGCTTAGGCTGAAAAAAAAAACACATGTATTTCCCATTTCCCAGCTGACCTAATTTTACCCACCGACTCTACTACTAAATTTTTATTCCAAATCGAGATTTTGAATAATATATTTTTGTTCACAGTAAAGTTTTCTCATAGTGCAGCTCATAAAATGCATGTCTCATACACTGTAAAAATATGTCTATCCAAGAGTTTTAAAGAGTACTCCTGCTTTATATATATATATATATATATATATATATATATATATAATATATATATATATATATATATATATATATATATATATGTATGTATGTATGTATGTATGTATGTATGTATGTATGTATGTATGTATGTATGTATGTATTCATATACATGTATGTGTATGTACATGTATATATGATAGAAAAACAATGAAATAAAACGTGTTGCTTGCGTGACGCAGTGGTTAGAGTGGTTGCACTAGAGTCGCGGAGTAAGGAGTTGATCCTTAGGTCGCAGGTTTGAATCCCACTGTGGGACGTGGAGACCGGTCCTTTGGATGAGACCGTATAAACAGAGGTCCCTTGTGGCATTAGGTGCTGGCACAAAAAAGATCCCTCACTGCTCAAATTGGCCCTGAGTGCGGAGTATAGGTCTATTAATTTGCAGCCCTCCACCGGCAAGTGGTGGCATCTCCATATGAGTGAAAATTTCTCGAAAGGGACATTAAACAACAAACAAACAAGTAAACAAAATTAACAGTAAAGTAAAAAAAGTTATTCCCTACTTACCTAGCCTAATTTTTTTACCATATGTCATCAGAAACACATAATTTTTTCTCATTTGGCCTAATAAAGTTAAATTACTATAGAATTGTGCATTGAATCATTTGATTCTTAATAAGAAACTATTATAAATTGTTAAAATGATAGTGTAGATAAGTTCTATAAAAATGAATGGGGCACTCTCATACATGTATCAATTCCAAACTTTAAAAATTCTAAAACTAATCAAATTAATAATGTAAAGCATTGTAAAGTTTGTATTCAGTCTCCATTTGGCATCTACAGAAACATCAGGGGATTCTCCAAGATCCTGACCCAGATATAGATTAATTAATGCACATGAAGATCCCCATGACTCCATATTTGGTTGTCTTTTGACATGGGTTTCCCAAATCAGGGTCTCCAGATACGGAAAATGACACAGGTTTCTGGTACAGGTTTTTCAGAATCCGTGAGTTCATGTAGGGAAACTAGCACAACTTTCTGTGAAGGGTTTTGTAAAACTGTGTGATCTATTTAAATATTTCAGTCATTATCCCATGCCTGTTCTTGCCTTGACCACTTTTTGTCATGGCTTTCTAATTACATATTTTACATATATAGGAGCAGAAATGCTACTCTGTTACAAGTTTACGGAAGCTAAATATGTGCCTGTGTTTAAACCACCCAGACTGTTTCATATGGGAGTACCCCCCCCCCCCCCCCTTATGAACACACAGCTAATGCTCATACCTCCTGTTGTTTACAATTACATGTATGTAACGTGTAAACTCAATTAATGTGTCAATTTATATTATTTATTAATTCAAAGCTAAGTTGAATATATTTTTAGATAAGGATTCAATATGTACACAAAAATTCACAAACAGGGTCGGAATCGGTATTCAGTCAGGTTCAAGGTCAAAGTGAAAGTAGTGTACTCAATGTACGCAGAGTCTTGCAGTATGTAAGTGACATGCATGTACCATTTTATAAAGGGGTATAAATGAAAACTATTTTCATGGAACAGGATTACATGAATGAGGACATGTACATTCTTTTGAAGCAGTCAGTCAACTTACTCAAGTGTGTGTGAACATGCACGCTAACATTTTTCATATTTTATTGATAGCATGATACATGTATTAATTTTGTCTAATGTATTATTTGTCACCATGGTCAGTAAAACATGCTTTTTACCTGTATTAATTATTTAACAAAACAATATTGGGAATTAAATCAGTGCAAGATGAAGCAAATTCATAATTTACGATTATTTTCAAATTATGGGCATAAAGGGAACATGGAAGGTTTGTTTGTGTGTAATGTCTGTCTGTGAATGTTTTAGGTGCATGTTTTGTGATACTGAAATATATAACATCGATTTTTTTAGGTTCATGGTGATACAGGAAAACTTCAAGGTTCCTGCAGATGGTGTTGAAAACTATTGGCCAGTAAACACAAATTAAACCCATTTAATTACATCTTGAATCTTCACCAGTAGAAAAAAGATGGCAGTACTTTTAATGCGTAAGTAGAATTGTTTTAAAAAGCTTCTTTTTTTGTTTTGGGTGGAATGAATGATTAAACAAATACATAAGAGTTGAAATCTCTTTAATACAGGGTGTTTCAACAAACATGTCCTGACTTTGCATGTCTAGTGCTTCTTTTACTACTTCACTCATGATTTAATGAGTCCGTCAAAAAAGGAAAGATCAGTGTTTTATAACGATTTATCTAAAAATAAACATTACAATGTACTTTTTATAGTTTTTTGAAAGAAACACTGCATTTACATGAAGTGTTTTATTCCAAAGATTTTTTAAAATCTCATGATCATGCAGGAAGTATGATTATATTCCTAATCTCGTTCTTTACACCCAAAACGTTTGACATCTTTTTTTATGTGTCATACCCTGTACAAAATGTTCCACCTGGAGAAAAAGGTGTAATCAAGACAGAATTCTCGGTAAAATTCCAGGCGCAAAACTTACTATAACTTTTAAAGCAATATAAGCGGAAACCAAGCGTTAACCAAGCGGAGACTAGCTGAAAATTTGTGGCAAAAATGTAAATTAGCTCCGCCTGGAAATTGACATTCTGCCTGCATGGAAATTGAAATTCCACCTAGAATTGAAATAACAGGATTCTTTCCGAATATAGATTCCGTCTCAACTGTCCAAAGTATTTCTTTTTATAATTTCCAGCTATTTTCCCCCTGAACTAAATTCAGCCTAGAATTTGATGACTGGAATCTGTTAAATTTAGGCGGAATCTCTGAGACAGAATATCAGAAAGTTCAGTCTCCCCCTGTATTACGCCTGGAATTTGTGCATTCCAAGCGGAATACCCTTGGTGTCCAGTCAAATTCTGGGCGGAATCCACCTCAATTGTTTGTACAGGACTAAATCATGATCACTAAAATGTTTAATTTCACATCAGTCAGTCGTAAAATTTGAGCGCCAACTTGACTCTGAATTACCTACTACCTGCCAAGAAGCTAGAAAGCTAAAAATACATGCCGGTTTTTTTTAGTAAAGGTTGTTAAGAATCATAATTTATTCATTTTGTTTTCAAGAATTTTTCATTGGTCTGTTTGGACTTATTACCCACAGATTTTATTAGTCCAAATGAAAATGTATTAGTCTGATGAGACTAACCGACTAACATTAGTGTCAAAAACCCTGACATTAGAAAATCTCAGGCATATATCTAGTCAGACCATGCTTACACTGTATAAAACATGATGCTGGAAAGTTGAATTGAAAATTTAAGTCTCCGTTATTAGTCTCTACCAAAAACTTTTAACTAAATCAGTAGAATTAATTTATAATTCATAGTCTTTCCCAAGTGTTTAGACTTTATATTTTGCAATAATTACTTAAGTGTTCATTATCAATATTCCTTATCTTAATTCCTGAAACTGACCAATCACAGTAGCCTAGACTAGTTGTTGCCGGTACTCGCATCATAATCAGTAGGTCCCTGTTCAATTCTTGTTCCTAGCACCTTGTCAATCCAAGATGTTTAAAATAGGTAATGAGATTGTTCAATCACTAAGCCGTGACTATAGAAGTGAAAGATGCATGTCTTTCAAATGAAATTTTAAAAATCAAGGTATCATTTCAGGATACGCACAATAAAAAAAACCCGTACAGTGTTAAGCTACTAGTATACACTGTAGTGAAACCAAATATTGAAATTTTATGCTATATAGTGTCATGTTTTTGTTTTTTTTCAACCACAAGTTAAATCCCCTCAAATCATGAAAATTTAACCCAATGAAAATAACCAATTTTACATTAATTGAGAAACTTATATGTATTTGAAAGCTTCCTGAAATGCCAGTAGTGTAGATTCAAGTTTGTTCAATTCATGGCCCCAGGGGTAGGGTAGGGCCACAGAAGAATATCAAAGTTTACATGGAATGACAGAACCATGATTTAATTAATAGTCATATTTATTATACATGTATATCCATGTCCTTACCAAATTTCTGTTGCAGTTTTCTCAGCAACTACTCATTGCAGGTGCTTGATATATTAGCACACTCTTTGTTTAGGCATGCCATATGGTAGGAATTATTTTTGTAGGAATCCGATGTGAATTTCCTGTTTATCCCTCCAATTCTGTCCATACTATATTTCCATCACAGTTTTTCTCAACAACTATTCAAGGATGATGCTTGAAAGTTTAGCACACCTTTAAATTGTTTAGGCATGCCATATGGTGGGATTCATTTTTGTATGCATTTGATGTCAACTTCCTGTTTATCCCTGTGCTTGTCCGTACCAAATTCAAATCAGTGCGGGAATTATAATTACTAGTGAGCATTGGCTCACAGACTTCTTGTTTTCTATTTGATAGGAATGTCTTTTACTTTAATTAGCTAAAATCCTTATTTAGTTCTTCACAAATATGTTGAGAATGTTCTTTTTTTTATAAGATGTGTAACCATTACTGTTTCTTGAGTCAAGATTTTTTTATTTACTTTATTGATATTTATTTCTACTAGAAGCAGCTACTAAGGAAGATTAAATGAAGGAAGATCAGGAAATGGAGAAAAAGCTGAAGAACAAGGAGGACAAGATGAAGAAAGAACAAGGTTATTACATATGTACCTCACAGTATTTTTACAAAGCCCTTCCAAATCCTGATTTATATAGTTTTTTGTAAAACTTAAGAATGAATTCTTAATATATAGTTCTTGACCCTTAAATATTAATAAAGAAGGTAACATTTTTTTACAGGGCACAGTGACTTGCAGTGTGTGTACATGTAACATTATTACAACAACTATATCATGGGTCCATAATTTTGAGTAAGTCATTCATCAAGTACTTTATATGTACTGGAAACCATTTCTGAGGGGGATGAAGTGATGGAAGATAATGAGCTGGAGGGTGGAATGGAAGAGAAAGGGAAAGAGATAAAGAAAAAGGCAGAATGAGAAAGGACTAGGTAATTATTATCACAGTACCCCCCCCCCCCCCCCTTCCTAATCAATGTATTTCTTCAAGTCAACAAAATTACCAGGTACTTATCTTATTCCTTCATAAATATTTTTAGAAAAAAATTAAAACATCAACTTTGACTGGATGTAGTGACTTGCATGTGTGTAATTAGCTGTGGTCAATACAATGACCTGGTCAGCAAAAACAATCTATCATTAAGTCGAATGCGGACTGATGTTTTTAATACTAATTGTTAGGCCATTATTTACACATTGAATTGTCTGTTTACACATTGAATTGTCTACAGACTTTTCCGTTTTCCCGATCATGACAAGGAGCACACAGCGAATGTGACTGATCGGCAGAGGATGTTTACTCCTATATTGCACCTGATCCCACCTCTGATGTTTTTAGAGGTCCGTGTTTGCTCTGCACCTGATTTGTATTTTTTCTATGGACTCTTGAGCTTGATTACTGTTCATTTTCTCCATAATTACATGATTGTATGATTAAGCGGTATTTGAGTACTCTTTACTGGAACCCAGGAACATCTTTATTTTTTTTTTTTACTTTGTGTCATCTAGTTTAAGATGATGAGATTGGACTGTATATAATGAAAAATGTTACATGTTACATGACTATGCCTTGACTTTACCTTAGGCTGAAAATGTCGATCAAGACGCATTTCTAGTCTTCTTGGCAGGTACTTGTAAATCTGTTCAGTTAAGTTTTTTTTTCTTTTGTGTGAATTAAGCTGCACACTTGGAAACTTTGAATCATAACCTTGTTAGTTGATGCCTCTTATAGGGGAAACATGTTATTTCTTGACTAGGCTTTAATAGCAGCAAGAAATATAAGTGAATTTGAAGTCATGGAAATATTTTAGGTAATGAGGAAAGTATGTATTCCACATTCTAGTACCAAAACATTTCTGTCAAAGTCAAGCAGGTACTTGAAAATGAATAAGGTACTAACCACTCTTTCCTCAGATAAATCACTAAAAAATTCAGTATGCCCAGATTTTTCATGAATCTGGTAAAATATGAAAATTGACAAACTGAATTTTTGTCAGTTTAGTAGTTTATTGAATTGGATTTTTTTTTACAGAACTTGCAATAGAAGAAAAAGTTTAGGGAAATTAAGAGGAAGAAATTGAAGATGAAAAGAAGAGCTCTGGGAGGAAAAAAGTGAGCATAGTGCAGTTATTTCTATGATTTTACATTTTTAGTGATGCATTATCAGATGCAGTCTGAATCATAAACCTTATCTACTGATAAAGAAGATGGGCGAACAAGGCAAGTAAATGCCCATTGTGTGACAAAAAAGATGTAAAGAGTTAAATCTTAATTATGTCAAAATTTTCTTTGATATTTCATTTAACATTAATGTATACTTTATGTAAAATCTTTGCAATTTGCTACAATCTTATAAAGATTAATATTATTGATCTATGAAATAGCAGATACACACCAAAAGAGGGCAAAAATGATCATTTTTTCCTACTATATCATCAGGGTTGGCAAAAAACTGGGAAATACTCATATTTCCCAGGATGGTGGGAAATACTGGTAATTACCGGGAATTACTGGTATTTCCCGGGAAATACTGGGAAATAAGAAATAGCTACTAACATATTTTGTTCATATTGACAAGTAGTACACCTTATTGGCTAAGATATCTACCTGGTATCATTGTCCCTGATTTAAAAAAATCTGGTTTCCAAGTAATTCATTTTGTATAATCATAACACAGTATATTCATATAGCAGTCATGAGTGTCATTTGTTTCATGCTTGAGACAGATGTAGTCTATAAAGGTCCATGAAATGAACCCAAAGATCCCAAATGGGTTTTTATCTAAGAAAATTCTTAAATGTAGAGTATGGTATTAATATCAAAACTAAGAAGAAGCCTTTCAGTTCTACTCAAGGTAATTATATCTTAAAACAGGAGCACAAAACTGTCCAGAGCAATTTGTTAAAACAACATGATTGTTTGTAATAACTACAGTGTTTATAGAAGGATTAAAACAAGTTTGGGTTTTTTTTTGTTCTTAGATTTATAATTAATAAACTTAATAATTTTACAAAACTGAAAAGAAACTTGAATACGTTCTATTTCCACTATGGAAGAGTTATACTTCTTAGTGCGCTCTTTTGTGAAAAAGTCGGAAAATGTATAAATCTCGCGGGATTTCAGGGACAAACGTTATATAAACATGTAAACAATATGTTGAATGTCGATGAACAAATCCTTAGAAAATGCAAATGAAATATTTTATTTTTGTGAACTTTATATACATCAAGAGTAGGAATGACAACGATATCAATTTATATCTATTGTTGATCGTGTGTATCTATTTATCGTATGGTACCTCTAAATACAATATACATGCCTCGGAAATGTCGTATTTTTTATTAATGGATGATAAATTTAGGGTTCTCGCTCTCTTACATATGTCTTTTAGTTATTCTATTCTTTAATTGGAATGACAAATACATTTAACATCTAAAACTGGATTGAGATTGACATGTTTTGTATTATCCGCAATGCCATGCTGTCCCAGTCAGACAACCAAACGCGCCTCTAATTTTGAAGAGTTCACTAATGGAAATATAACGTATTGGAAAACTTCAGTTTTACACAGAATGCTTATGGGAATGGGACCTGGAGTAGTGATACATTCTGAATATGTTCAATTGCAATTTGAGACATATTCCATATTATTCATCTTTGTTAGCTCTACTGGTCATAGACCAGAAGAGCTTATGCGATAGTAAGGTGTCCGTCGTCCGTCCGTCTGTCTGTCTGTCCGTCTGTAAACAATTTTTCAAAATGCTACTCCTCCTACAGTTTTGGTCTGATTTCAGTATAACTTGGCACACAAGCAGACTACACTAAGATACATAATTCTGTGTATCGGTTTTTGATTTCGATGAACGGTGTTGCCATGGTTACTAAAAATAGAAATTTCTGTGAAAAACATTCAAAATGCTACTCCTCCTACAGTTTTGATCTGATTTCAGTATAACTTGGCGCGCAAGTAGACTATACTAAGATACATAATTCTGTGTATCGGTTTTTGATTTCAATGAATGGTGTTGCCATGGTTACTAAAAATAGAAATTTCTGTGAAATACTTTCAAAATGCTACTCCTCTTACAGTTTTGGTCGGATTTCAGTATAACTTGGCAAGCAAGTAGACTACACTAAGATACATAATTCTTTATATTGATTTTCTGATTTTTATGAACATTGTTTCCATGGTTACTAAAAATAGAAATTTCCTTGAAATACCTTCAAAATGCTACTCCTCCTACAGTTTTGGTCTAATTTTAGTATAACTTAGCACACAATTAGACTACACTAAGATACATAATTCTCTGTACCAGTTTTGGATTTCAATGAACGATGTTGCCATGGTTACTAAATGTAGAAATTTCTTGAAATACTTTCAAAACGCTACTCCTCCTACATTTTTTGTCTGATTTCAGTATAATGTGGCATACAAGTAGACTACAGAGATACATAATTGGTGTTATTGTTTTTTGATTTTTGTTGAATGATGTTGCCATGGTTACTTAAAATTTCTGTAAAATTGTTTTAAAAGGCTACTCCTCCTACAGTTTTAGTCTGATATAATAATAAATCTTGCCACAAAAGAGACTAAACCAAGGATCATTATTCTGTTTATTGCTGTTGCAAAGTTTCAAGTCAAAGTGCTACTTTTATCTTCCTTTATAAATACAACCAGTAGAGCTACAGTCTCATCAGAGACTTCTGGTTTTTATGTTTATTTTATTTTTGAATTTTGTATAAGATTGAATGAATTAAAGAAAGAAAAAAACTTTAACTTTGTATTTCCCAGTATTTCCCACTTTAGAGAAATTTGTAGTATTTCCCGGGAGGGGAAAATACTGGTATTTACCACTGGTAATTCCCACCACTGGTATGTCCCGGCCAACCCTGTATATCATACTTTTTGAATATGAGAATAGGTCTTCACTCCATATTTTGGTAAGATTATACTCGAAGCATATTTAAAACTTTTCCTATTTCGGTTGACAAAAACATGGTGAAATGACCTACTCTTCTAAAAAAAAATGCACTTTTATGTCACAACAACATTCATATCTTTCAGAGAAATATTTGAAATCCATTTAGTCAAGAGTCACATTTTTAAACGTGATTTACATATGTAAATGTCCATTTTTGTCATGAGCTACATGTATGTAGTGTAGTGGTTAGCATGTTAGTCTCTAAGGAAAAAACTGAGGATTTAATTTCATTGCTTGGGTTTGAACCCCAAGAATACCACTTTTTTTTTTTTTATCATAGAATGATTTTTGCTTAAAGAATTTTCTACAGAAAAGTTTTGTTTGTAGTATAATGTTATACCTTTCAAAAAGAAGAACTTTACTCTCAATACTAAATTCAGTATTTGAATATGACTTTTATACATTTGAAGCTATACCTGGCTTTTTGCATGCCTTGTTCACCCATCTCCTTATGCACATTATGAAACATATAAAATTATATACATATTACTGTTACTTGGTAGACTTTTAGTGTAATTAAAATTAGGTCTTTCATTTTACTCCATTTATTAATATATGTTACTAATGAGAGACAGATAAATATACAGGAAAAGCTAAATGAATCTAATTTGTGTAGCTTGTTGAATGTTTTCATTTATAATATTCTTATAAGTGACTTGCTTGGATGCATGTTTTTATTTTGAAAAATCCTTATTTGTCTAGATGCATGTATTCTGTGAGTACTTATATAGTCCTAACTGAAATGATTCCAACTTTTTGATATGTAAATTAAAGAGGAAGATGAGATTAAAGTTTGGCTCTTTAAACTGGAAAGCTTGAAAGGAAATTAATGGCAAGGGCAAAAGAAAAGGATAAGGCCATTCCAAGTTTTTTCTATGTTTAGCGTCTGCGTGTGCCTTGGATTTTGACACTCCATATCAGAAAAAACATACAGAACTAGTGCTAATTGTAACGGTAACCGTTACAGATGTTCCCCAAACGGCTCCCCAATCCCTTATGATGCCCCATTCCCTGCAAGCTTCATTGAATTAGACAGTACTTTTGTAATATAGATGGACACTTTATTTTTAAGGGTATTTTATTGGAAAAATACTCTGATATAGCCATATGGGTTTTAGCCAATCAAATTTCAGCGCATGTGCTTGCACGTGCTTTCTACATTTAACACATAAATTTTCTTATAGTGTCTCACAATATATACATTTGTGTTAAATATCAAAGAATTTCATTGAAAAATAAAAGAGATATATCCATTTAAATATTAGCCAATCAGAATTCAGCACACGCACAAACATGACGTTGCATTCAATTTTGAAAGTATCATACTGTAGGAGCCCAATGTGCCTGTCTATATTATAAATTTCATCCTCTTTTGTTGAAAACCAAGGGAGTTATAGTCATTTAAAGTGTCAGCCAATCGGATTGCAGCACATCTGCATGCGCGTGTTTTCAAGCAATTTCCTATATGATACGTTGTAGAACCTTATAATATATACTTACATGTATATTTTAAATTTAAAGTTATGGCTATATTAACTATATCAGCCATTTCACTCATCGCATGCGCGCGCACGTGCATGCAAAATGACCTTCGTTCCGCACATCTACACAACATGCCTATTAACCCTAAAAAGGTTTCATCCCAATCGGATGAGTAGTTTCTGAGAACACTCGCGGACAAAAAAGTAACGGAGAAGAAATTTCGAAAAAAGAAAGTAAAAACAATATGTTCCCAAACTTCGTTTGGGGAACATAATAAGGAGTCCTGAAATCAGTTATTCTGGTCAAAATCTTTGAATTCTGTCAATTTCTATAAATATTTGTCTACAAGATGTCATATTAGGAATATTTTAAGCATTTAATACCTCGGTTTTGCTGAAGAATAGAGATTTTTAAATCAAATCTTTTGAATGACGTCATTTTTACGACTATAAAGTCTTTGTTTTATTTTTTTGGTTTGTGTGTTTTTTGCGAATAGGTTGGTAGGTTTTTGAAAGATGGGTGGACGCTAAACAGAGAAAAAACTTGGAATGGCCTAACCCAAAATTTCAGAAAGTGTATGTTAAGTTGTGAATATACTGTAAACATATTACTTTTCACTGTGTATTCTTTTTAGCGCCTTTGGTGGAAAGCAATGTCTGCTAATTCAAGTACAACGCTAAATGTCTTGCACAAATACACATAAACATTAACAAATGCGCTAAATCAAATCCCCGCTAACTTGCTCAATAATCAACTTCTGCCAAATATCGTACACGCTAAATATTATACATTTACAGTAATTCAACAGACTAACAAGTTCTAAAGGATATAATCATTTAATACAAATCAAATACACAAAATGTTAACTAGCTATTTTAGGAATTTTAGATTTAAAATTTATTCTTGTCCTTTTGCTTTTAAAGAAGTGTTGTTGTGTCTTAATTAAGATTGGAAACTTGATCATTGATATATTTTATTTCATTTTAATGTAAAAGCTTTAATGGTTTTATTATATATGTATTTCAGTTCCATTTGTTAAGAATGTGTGGACAAAAGAAAAATAGCCATAGAGTGCCAATGTGGAGTGGAAAAAGGCAGTATGACTTGATCGTGGTCAATTGAAGTGTTTAAATGCCCCTCAAGAAAGCAGAACAATCTTTGAATTTGCAAGAAAGAGTATAAAATTTGCTGCTAAAATATCATAACAGCTAGACAAAGATTAAATAACAACTACACTTACATCTAAAGAATTTTTTTGTCCTAATAGTGATTCATGTGCAAGTACATGTAACAAGTGCTATAATGACCTAATATTAGTGTGTTTTAGGAGCATGTTGACTCTATTGTAAATGTATTGACTCATTATATGACCTCATTTATATATATCATTATATGAATGGTAGTGTAGTGACTCGACATGTGTGTTAGCTGTGTAGGTTATGATGTGTGGTAATTTTGTGTACGTATGTAGTATGGTGACTCGTGTTGGGAATGTATAATTTTATGTGTTACTGATATATCTCATCATGTGATTTAAAATGGTTATTTGTAATGTATATATTAGAAGTGTAGTGACTCGACATGTGTGTTAGTAGTGTAGTGACTCGACGTGTGTTAGTACTGTAGCTTATTATGTGTGGTGATTTTGTTATTTGTAAGTTGTACATGTAGTATGGTGACTCGTGTGTTGGAAATGTATAATTTTATGTGTGTTACTAGCTCATCGTGTGTTTTAGTATTGTTATTTGTAGTGTATATATTAGTATTGTAGTGACTTGACAAGTGTATTAGTTGTGTAGTGACTCGACATGTGTGTTAGTAGTGTAGTGACTCGACATGTGTGTTAGTAGTGTAGCTTATTATGTGTGGTCATTTTGTTATTTGTTATGTGTGTTGTACATGTAGTATGGTGACTTATGTGTTTGAAATGTATAATTATATATACCCTCGCTCCGAAGGAGAGGGGGGGTATACTGTTTTATCCTTTTGTGTCTAGCTGTGTGTGTGTCTGTCTGTCTGTCTGTCCATAACAAATTTTTGGTCACATTTTTCTCAGCAACTACTCATTGCAGATGCTTGAAATTTTAGCACACTCTCTGTTTAGGCTTGCCATATGGTGGGATTCATTTTTATACAAATCTGATGTCAACTTCCTGTTTATCCATGTGTCTGTCCGTACAACACATAACAAATTTTCGTCTCAGTTTTCTCAGCAACTTCTTATCGCTTGAAATTTTAGCACACTCTTTGCTGAGGCATGCCATATGGTGTGATTCATTTTTGTATGAATTTGATGCCAATTAACTTCCTCTTTATCTGTGCGTTTGTCTGTATCATACATAACAAATTTTCATTGCAGTTTTTTCAGTAGTTACTTATAGGTATAGCAGATGCTTGAAATTTTAGCACATTCTTTGTTTTGGCATGCCATATTTTGAGATTCATTTTTGTACAAGTCTGATGTCAACTTCCTGTTTATCTGTGTGTCTGTCTATACCATACATAACAAATTTTTGTTGCAGTTTTCTCATCAACTACTTATTGCAGATGCATGAAAGTTTACACACTTTTTGTTTAGGCATGTCATATGATGGGATTCATTTCTGAATTTGATGTCAACTTCCTGTTTATCTGTGCATCTGTCTGTATAATATGGAACATTTTCTCAGCAACAACTCTTGTTGAGGCATGCAATATGGTGGGATTTATTTTTGTATGAATCTGATGTCAACTTCCTGTTTATCCGTGCGTCTGTCCATAGCTGCACTTGTGTATATTCACATGATAATGTATATTCACATCACGGTGGGGGGATTACCAGTGGGCATTGGCTCACAGAACTTGTTTTATGTGTGTTACTGGTATAGGTCATCATGTGATTTAATGTTGTTATTTGTAATTTATATATTAGAAGTGTAGTGACTCGACATGTGTGTTAGTAGTGTAGTGACTCGACATGTGTGTTAGTATTGTTAAGCTTATGATGTGTGGTAATTTTGTTATTTGTTATGTGTGTTGTACATGTAGTATTGTGAATCATTATGTGTTGGGAATATGTAATTTTATGTGTGTTATTGGTAAAGCTCCTCGTGTTTTTTTAAGGAATAACTGTCTAATTTTTTGGATTCATGATGTGATCAATCGAGTGGCTTGCGTGATAATTTGCATAAACGCCGAAGGCATTTATGCAAAAAAATTATCACGCAAGCCAATCGATTGATCATCGTCATGAATCCAAAAAATCTGACAGTTATTCCTTATATTTACATGCTCCTGATTCTGCAAATTCCCGTGCTAATAGCCCAGCGTCTGTCTTTATTTGTCCCGCCCCGCACGTGATTTTTTTTAACCGCCCCTATCGATGAACCAGTGGATTTATGTAGAAATAAAGTATTTTTACAATTTGTAATTTTATCTCGGACAAAGACATTGGAAATGTAAATATATATTGTTATTTGTAATATACAGTGAAACTTGTCTTATCCGGATGTTGTGTACTCCAAAATCTTGACTAATACAGTGTTAAATTTAGTCACCTGCAGTAGATTCAATTGTATTAAATGTTGTCTAATCCGGAATGTGGTCTAATCCAGCCAATTTCTTTGGAACCAGTGGTGTTCAGATTAGAAAAGTTTTACTGTATATATTAGTAGTGTAGAAACTCTACATGTGTGTTAGTAGTGTATTGACTCGACTTGTGTGTTAGTAGTGTAGTGACTCGACATGTGTCTTAGTAGTGTAGCTTATGATGTGTGGTAATTTTGTTATTTATTATGTGTGTTGCACATATACATGTAGATAATATGGTGACTCATGTGTCAGGAATGTATAATTTTAAGTGTGTTACTTTTATAACTCATCGTGTGATTTAAAATTGTTATTTGTAATGTATATATCAGTAGTGTAGTGACTCGACGTGTGTAAGTAGTGTAGTGACTCGACATGTGTGTTAGTAGTGTAGTGACTTAACATGTGTGTTAGTACTGAAGCTTATTATATGTGGTAATTTTGTTATTTGTTATGTGTGTTGTACATGTAGTATGGTGACGCTTGTGCTGGGAATGTATAATTTTAAGTGTGTTACTGGTATAACTCATCGTGTGATTTAAAATTGTTATTTGTAATGTATATATCAGTAGTGTAGTGACTCGACGTGTGTAAGTAGTGTAGTGACTCGACATGTGTGTTAGTAGTGTAGTGACTTAACATGTGTGTTAGTAGTGTAGCTTATTATGTGTGGTAATTTTGTTGTTTGTTTTGTGTGTTGTACATATAGTATGGTGACTCATGCGTCAGGAATGTATAATTTTAAGTGTGTTACTGGTATAGCTCATTGTGTGTTTAAATATTATTTGTTATTTGTAATACATATATTTGTATTGTTATTTTGGTATGTGTGTTGTACATGTAGCATGGGACTCATTTTGTGTTGGGAATGTAGAATTTTACCTGCGGTAGTGTAGCTCATTTTTGTGTGCTAATGTTATTTTTTATGTGTAATAGTCATGTAGTGACTCAATATGTCTGTAAGTAGTGTAGCTCATTATGTGTTTTCATGTTGAGTTAGTTTAATTTAGAAGAGTGTTGACTTATTGTGTAAGTTAGAGTAGCCTCTTGCTATATGTGAGCATAATATAAAAAGACACTTTTTTTATGATGTGTATATAATTATTAAAACAATGCTAAATATAATATTATACCAACCTCCATTGATAAACTTATGTTTGAATTTCTAATGTAATGTAAGCTGCATGAATAGATCATATTTTGACTGAATTTTGAATGAGCATAATTTGTGATTTTAATTTTTGAAATAAACAGAAATTTAATTTTCCTTGTATATGTTTATTTTTTCATTAGATTGCAGAATAGAACTAACTTTTGCAGTATTAAATATCTAGAAATGCTTTTATGACCAGAATGGTGGATACTTATTTTACAGTTAAAGTATATCATTGAGGGAGTTAGCAAGATTCCAGTTGTTTTTGTTTTGAACATTTTTTATTGACAATATGTCAGTTGAAAGGGATTGGACACAAGTTCCAAAAACTTAGATAGTCCTCTCCCATACATAAAATCTGAATAGCCATACAACATTTACAAAGTTTTGCAATAATATATATATGTACATAGAAGAACAAAAACAATTGTTTTGTGAATAATGAAATAATATCAAATTAATAATAATGGTAATAATAATTACAATGTTGATATTATCAAAATATAATAATCATGAACAGTTCCAGTTCCCCAAGGGCAAGACTATTTCCCGAGGCGAAGCCGAGGGAAATAGTCCTGGTCGAGAGGAACTAAAATCTTGCTAACTCCCGCAATGATATACTTTAAACTGTTTTATTATACTGATACAAACGTAAAATTTAGAGGATTCAGGTAGTATGATTTCATAGCAGGGATTAGCTCACTTACTTGCTAACACACGGGGATTAGTCCATTCACATATCATACCAATGTAAAAGTAAAATCTAGAAGATTACAGATAACCGGGAATTAGCTTTTGATGCAGAGATTAGCTCACTTGACTAACGCACGGGGATTAGTCCATTCATAAAGATTTCTTGGGAATTAGTCACGTCTAACGATCTAATGTTATATAGACAAAAAATCAGTAGAGGTATGATAAAAGTATATAACGCGTAATCCTGCTTGGGAGAAGGGGTTCTGGGAAGATCAAATTGGGTAAGAATTATAGACCAATGCAAACTGATGTACAGTGTATATAAAAGCAGATAAATGTTTGTCGGTCGCATGCTGTAAATTTTAAATGATAAAAGCTTGACTTCAACTGTAGGAAATTCTCGAATGGGACGTTAAACAACATAAAATCAATCAATCAACTGTAGGAAATATCCCTACTAAAATATCATGGTATAGTTAGATCAAAATAACGATGGCGGTTTTATAATGCACATTATTGTGAAATTACCTAAAAGACCTCTTAAAAGAAACGGGGCGTACAAGGCGGGGACAATCCCCCGCTCTGAGGTAATATTTTTCTCAATCTTTAAAGTTCACGGAAAAGTTATATTTTTCTAAAATTACGTTTTCAGGAATGGCATCTTCAACAGATTTGATTCATTTATTTTATTAAATGGTACTGGTTGATGATTTGTTTTTAAAGTTGTCAGTAAAGCATATTTAGTGGGAAATTGGTTTTTTGGAGCCACACAAAATGATTTTTGAATATGAATGGGACAAGTTTCCTTTCTACGTTAACGTTTACGTTTTAGCCTTGATATTAAACCGGGAAATACTATGATCTGGAGCATGCAGTATCGAAGGGGTACAGGGATGCCCCTAGTGTTTTTTTTATTCTCCCGAGAAAATAACTGTTGTTAATGTACATAGGAAATTTTAATATAAGGCCTGTTATTATTTTTTCTTCCTTTCTCCTGGTTAAAAATCGATTTTTAACGGGGGGGGGGGGGGGCGCTCCAAACAGTTTGACAAGCAGGAAAAAAACCTTAACCTATTGACTAAACTAGAAAATCTTATTTGGGGGGTTAGGTGGTTGGGCCCTTTCCCTAATTTCTGGTACATTTTGCTGAAATTTGCGTTCTACATTCGGGCCACAAAAAAGAGGGAGAAACCCCAACCATTTGAAAATACGTAGGAAAACGAGATTATATATATATATATATTTCTTTTTGTCCTTTGTCTTCTTGTTGGATATCACCCATCTTTCAGTGAAGCGGCGTTCTCCTTTTCGCATATTGATAATATCTTTCGGCAAAAAAAATAAGTTACAATTTCTCGAATATTTCTTTATTACGATTCCGCATAAAAAGGGGGAAAATGTATTACGATTCCGCAAATATGTTATCTGGATCACTGGTACATAGATAAAATAAAAATTACACAATTAAGCAGATTAAGATACAAACAGGAGTAGCTGAATAGATTGCTCCCATGCATGTAGCTGCTTTTTTTCTTAAATTTCACTAGAAAGCCCTTCTTGTCTCTCTGAGCTGAGTCGAGTTTTCTACCAATTGGTCGAACTGGATTTTTAAAAAAATCACGGAAATAAGTTTACGGAGGGCTTCGGAAATAATACACATCGATCGATGCCTTAACTACATGTAGCACATGTATAATTCTTGTATGACTTTTTAAATAACTTTAAATAACTTAATACGTCATACCAGATTATGTTCAGTTTGCGCCTAAATGAAAGATTGTTACAATTTTCTTAATTCAAATGCAATGCATGTTTCTAACACCGACTATACTACTACGTATAGAACCATGTAAAAATAAAGTGGGTCAATTCTTTTCACTCTGTTTGACTTTCATTTACATGTACATATAATTATAAATATATTTCGTGGGGGACGAAAAGGTGGGATAAGGGTGAGGTTAAACACTTTTATCAACATGCAGTTTTCCTTCATATATATATATATATATATATATATATATATATATATATATATATATATATATATATATATATATATATATATATATATATATATATAGATAGATAGATAGATAGATAGATATAGATATAGATATATATAGATATATATATATATATATATATATATAGATATATATATATATATATATATATATATATATATATATATATATATATATATATATATATATATATATATATATATATATATATATATATATATATATATATATATATATATATATATAATGTCCCTACTTACAAGGGGTCGTGTTTCCTGAAATGGGGTGTGTATCGAAATTCATAATTTTGTTTCTTTATTAACTCTGAATATGGTGGAAGGCTCCAAAGACCCCTTACCGTCCTGCAAGTTCCGATATTGAGAAAATAAAAAGCTATATAAAACGAGCATTAAAGTGTAAAGAATAAAACAGGAGATTACAATTAAATTTGTCCACGGCTCTCCGAAAGGTTCCGGATTTTTTTTCTATTCGCAAATGTATTTGGTTTTGATTGTTGAACTTACACTGAATGCAAAAAATCCCCGTCTTAATGGATTTCAACATGCGCACAGAATCTCTGACGTAACTAAAAACTGACGTTATTTTCTAATGTCTTTAGTATTACTATTAACTTAAAGATCTGGGGGTCGTAACATAAAGCTTGCTAAGTTTTTGACTTAAGTAGGGTCATAAGTATGTGTTTTAAGCGAAATCTTAAGACCTGCCTAAGTACTACTTAAATTTGTCTTAAACCGTAACATAATTTAATGAACTTAGCTAGGTCTTAGCTAAGTCAAACTTATGTTCAAAATATTTTATGAATCATCCTAATTTTCATATTTATTTATATATAACATGTATTTCTAAAAAATGATTTAGTTGCGTTTTTAATTACACATATATTAAAGTTGACGTCCTTACCTATCAGTTTTAGCAAGGTTAGATTAGATTTCGTATTAAAAATATTCTGTTTAAAATTAGTCTGAATATTTGAAAACAAATATTGCACGGACACAAAATAGTGGTTCACTGTAAATGCATGAATATTGTTTATCACTCGAGACTGCAATGTTTTCAGTTTACCGTTTGTCGTTATTCTTTTGTTTTGACAAATGTTCACTTGGTTTCAAATTGTCATTCTCGCAGACATTGTACGATAACCGAACGTCTATGTACTTGAAATTGAAACTCTTAATAAAACAAGATGTGTTTGTGAAACACCGATGCCCCCGTATGGCAGCTTATGGCGAAGGTTAAAGTTTCTCAAATGCAAGTCAAAATCTAGGTCAAGAAATCAAAAATGTTGGTATCCAAAGAAGGTCTTGTCTCGAGAAACATACCTGTGAAATATGAAAGCCCTAGTACAAACCGTTGAAAAGTTATGGCAAAGGTTAAAGTTTTTTCAAAGTAAGTAAAAAGGCAAGGTCAAGGTCAAATGGTGCCCAAGGGAAGGTCTTGTCACAAGTGATTCACATGATCGGACATGTGAAAGCCCTTGAACCAAACGTTCAAATGTTATGGCCAATGTTTAAATTTTTTAAAAGTAGGTCAAACTCCAAGGTCAAGGTCAATGCCAAAATTGGTATCCAAAGGAAGGTCTTGTCACAAAGAATATACATGTGAAGTATGAAAGCCCTAACACCAACTGTTCGAAAGTTATGACCAAGGTTAAAGTTTTTCAAAAGTAGGTCAAACTCCAAGGTCAAAGGGTCAAAGTTGTTGGTACCTAAGAGGAAGTTCTTGTCACAAGAAATGCATATGTGAAGTATGAAAACCCTAGCACTAACTGTTCAAAAGTTATTGCCAAGGTTAAAATTTCTCAAAATTGAAGTAGGTCAAACTCCAAGGTCAAGGTCAAGAGGTCAAAGCTGTTGGTATCCAAAGAAGATTATCACAAGGAGTACACATATGAAGTATGAAAGACCTAGCTCAAACTGTTCAAAAGTGGTCAAGGTTAAAGTTTTTTCAACAGTAGGTCAAACTCCAAGGTCAAGGTCAAAGAGTGAAAGATGTTGGTACCCAAAGGAAGGTCTCGTCACAAGAAATACACATGTGAAGTTTGAAAGCCTAAGCTCCAACTGTTCAAAAGTTATGGCCAAGGTTAAAGTCTCATAAAATTTTGCAAAAGTGGGTCAAACTCCAAGGTCAAAAGGTCAAATATGATAGTAACTAAAAAGGTCTTGTCGCAAGGAATACACATGTGAAATATGAAAGCCATAGCTCCAACCAATCAAAAGTTATGGACAAGGTTAAAGTTTTTGCGGACAAACAGACAGATAGACAGACAAACAGACGGACGGACAGGGCAAAAACTATATGCCCCCGAATCTTCGATTACGGGGGCATAACAATAGGGACATATTAAATTCTTTTTACTCCGATGTATCAG